ATATATATATATATATATATATATATATATACATACATATATATATATTTATATATATCAGGTATAAATATATATATATATACATATATATATATTTATATATATCAGGTATGACTGCTTATTACTTGTTAAAAAATTTGGAAGAAATATCATGGGATATTTTGTAAACAAATTCGATGCTTAGTGTAATAATATAACTGACGCTCTTGTAGTTTTGGCGAAGCTGACTAATTTGCCATAGTCCGTCAATGCACTCGTCAGTGGCATTTCTTTCCTAGGGAAACTGACCAAACTTGGGCTACGTCGATGCATTTGCACAATAATTACAGTATTCACTATTTTTTTTATAAATCATGGGTTTGTAAGTATGTATTAATTTCGAATTTGTAACCGAGAAAAACGCCTACCAAAAATCACACGTGTACCTAATATTGCCTATAGTATTTGTGGTTCAAATCATGAAATGTTTTTTCGTGAATGTCAATGTGTGTTGTTGGTTGTTTTACGCGTTCAGACAATATGTTGTAATCGCGTGCGTGACATAATTGTATAATTAACCGGTCACACCAGAAACTATATGATAATGTACGAGTTCGCGTGTTTCTAAGGCAATTAAGCACTGCTGATATCAGTGGGGAATTGTGGCCCGTATCTATATCTGGTTATTATGCTGTCTGCGTGAAATAAAGTTACCTTTATAAAGTTAACGAACTGGTTTGAATGTAGTTATATTTTCGTACAACGATACACAGTTGCAAACAGATGGCGTTTTATTTTAAGAACGATCGGTCTGCCTATTGCCCATATGAAGCATGTCATATTGATTCCTCCCGTACCCATTATTTACCCCTGATATTACCATAAAACATATCTTCACTAATATACATAATATATTGTTAGCTCTACCCTTGTAGCCACTTTGCTTCGATCTATGCCATTGTTTTTGCATGGTTCATACAGGAGGACTGAAAAAGGACTTTTCAAGGACATTTTATCAGAAATGCAAGGACATTTTATCGGACATTTTATCGGAATTCATACACAACAAAACATACCTGGATTAATTTAATAACCCCATTCTTAATCACTGTCACCTCTAAAACTTACCTGGATCACATTAATAAACCCTTCTAAACACTGTCACTTCTACAACATACCCTTGACGTGATGCGGCCATGATGCCGAGGCTTGCCGAGGATTGACACTGTGTCTTTCAATCACAGCCTACGCCGCACCTCTGTTTGATATTTTTATAGGTGGGGAC